TAGTCCGGGGCCACGACGGCGAGCGCCTCCGGTAGGGATCGGTGCTAAGGAGCGGCGGGGAGATGAGTCAGCCTGCATGCGGTCGTGTGTGTCAGCGTCACGTGTAGTCAATGATCATGCAGTGATTACCGACGTGCTGTCTCTTCCCGCAGTTTAGCAGGGAAGAGGCGTCCTCGCCGACGCGAGCAGGACCCGTGCCTACCCGGGCAAGGTGGTGTCCATCCCTCCTCACACTTGGGTGTCTGGTAGTGGCTCGCAAGATCTGAGCTCTCCAGTCCCTTTTGTCCCCAGTCCAGACAGCCGTGGAGCAGCGGCGTGGGCGAGGCCGGTGCCCGGAGGAGGCGCTGGGGCCGGTGGTGTTTGGGAGGGATATCCCGAGTATGGCACGCAGCATCACAGGACGTGGCAGTGTCACCGAGGTGTGATGCCATGGCCAACCCCATAGGGCTATTTGCAGCCCCCAGTTCGGGAGGGAGGGGAGGCACAGCGTCTCACAGTCCCCGTGAGCGGTGGCAGAAACCGGCACGTGCCCGGGCCCGACGGAGACCATGAATCGACGCATCGGGCGGTTCGGGTCTCGAGCAGTAAAGGAAGGAGATAAATCATGGCCTTATTGTTATTGAATTTAGTGGCATCGCTTTCACATTCAATTTCTCTCGCCGGCTTTCCGAACAAACAAGAAATTACAGTGCAAATGTATTTTTTGGCCTACCAAACATTATGCATTAACTTACCCGTGATTAATATTACGCAGGGTCGATGAAATCCTCTGCGGGCCGCTCGCCGCTCTGGCGAGACCGCGCTGCTCCTCGCTTCCTCGGGATTTATTCTGTAGTCAATTTGCTTGTAGTCGTAGTCTTTTACAAGGAATGTAGGACTATGATTAAGGGGGGATAGGGACCGTGCACTGCTGTATCGCTTTTCCCCCCGCAGCTCCGGAAGGTGAGCATCTTGCTCCCATATCCAGCGAGCAGTCTTGGGGCTGGGGGGCCGGGGAGGACCCCCACAGGGACCGATGGCCACATCCATCCACGGTGCAACCCCGGCAGCCCCCTGGGAATCAATGTCCTGTCCCAACAGCTGCCGAGAGCTGCTTAATTTGGGTGGGCATCCCACACGTGGGGGCCTCTCCCCATCACGGCGTTATTGCTCTCGAGCAATCCAGGAGCATCTCACCCTTTTTCCTTAGCTATTGTATGATCAGGCATGTAGTGACGTGTGTGAGGGCTAGCGGGAGCTGCTCGGAGAAGCAAGCTCTTAGGAAATATATTATGCACACAAGGAAGTGTTAACCCAGCAAAAGGCAGAGCAGGCAACGGTGCTCTGTCTTCCCGGCCGAGCGACAGCCCCGCTCTCACCGCTTCTCCAGTGGTTAGTATGTTCACCTGGTGATCATTTCTTATCTTCTATATGTTGTAACTACTGGATGTGGGCTGCATAGGGGAGGTTCCCCCCCTTTGGTAAATGCAGAAAATGTAGAAAAATCACAGGTAATCCAGGGAAAGGTTGCTGTCAACATGTAAATGAACAGAAATAGCATCCGCAGTCGCTTCAGGGACTGGGAGGGCTCTTGGGGGCAGATGGGAGAGCCTTTAGCCTCTGTGACTGGGGATGATCCTAAAACGTCCCCATCTTGAGACACGGCATCTCTGGTGGGACGTGTTTGTCACGGCAGCCGTGCGTGTGCCTTGGCCGTACCTGCCTCGTGGCATTTACAGGGAATGGCCGCAGCTGGGTTTTATCTGCACGGTTGTGTTTGCCGCCAGACTCATCCCGCCTGCCAGCGCTTGGGTCCCGTCCACTGCCGGCCATGTCCCCGCGCGGGCCCAGCTCCCGCCCGCTCCTCCCGTGGGATTAAGTCCCCCCAAGGCAAAGCCGGCGTGCCCTTGAGACGCTGTCCTCGACAGCCTGGCCAGTGGGATCTATAGAAATGTAATCAATGTCCTTAGATGTCCTTCTCCAAGTCCCAGTAACCTCGTAGACAACGATCGCCATCGCGGCAGGGTATCGAGCCGTCCGGCGGGGTTCCCGCGCTCTCCACGGGTGTCCCTCTGCTGCATGTCCCTGCTGGCTCTCGGGGGTGTTTCTGATCGGATTAGGGCGGGCAGCGGCGCAGCACGGCAGTGCGGTGGTGCTTCCCCGGCCCCCGCGGCTTCGGGGCCGCAGCTGGGGGGTTCGGGAGGTGCCGTTCTCCCCTTGCCAGCACATCTGCCCGCTGCATCGGCATCCTTCGCTAAGGGAAGGGCTTTAGGGTTGATGCGTGTATTCGTGTGGCTTGGCATTTGCCGAATGGGAGCACTGGGGCCGTAGTGGTTATTGGTAGTGGTATTTTCTGTGCAGAAGTGAAAGTATTTCTGTGCCTGGGACAGGCTCACATCTGTGTCCAGAGCACCGGTTTCTGCATGTCACTTTGTACTTGTGGTTTGGGACTCAGGGGATGGGAACGGGATGTCGACCGTAAGCCAGGAGAGGGCCGGGAGGGCAAGGATGCTCCGGCAAGCTCCGGCTTACTCCCTGCATGCATGTCAGGTCGGGAGAGCGTGGCCTTGTCCTCGGGGTGTGTTGCTGGAGGACAGACCTGGGGGACAGCCTTGACAGAGCCGCGGCTGAGGCTGTGTCAGCATCCTTAGGCTGGCGCCATGCAGGTCTACAGCTGGGGCGCTGTCCAGCCTGTCTGTCTGTCTGATCAGTGCCGCCTGTCGGGCTGCCTCTGTCCAGGGTCCGGCCCCAGCAGGGCTGCCTGCAGGAGGCGGGGTGGGAAGGCGATGCAAGAAATACACGCACGGAGCGGGTGCTGTGCAAGGAAAGGTGTATGGAGCTAATTTTGCCTCCCGTGCAGCAGATGATATATCTGATGGGGGATGCGGATCACCTCGGCTTCCTTGGACATACACTGTTCTCTTTTTATTTAGTTTTAACTCTTTGTTGGGGTGTGGAGCCGAGCACTGCAGCACCTGCTCAGGGAGGAAGAGGAGCTCCGAGCATGCGGGGCCTCTCGAGCAAGCATTTGGAGTTGGTGTTAGCTGCCCCGGAGGTGCCCACCTTCCTCTGGCAGCGTGCTTGCCTGCAAGCATTAGTCTGTACCGGGAGCATGTGTATGTAGTAAGTCTGTGAGAAGCAGATAGTGTCTGCACAATGTTTAGCTTTTTTTTTCCCCCCTATAATCCGTGGCTCGCATAGCCCCTCAGGTAGCGTGAAGCATCGAGCAGAGGGTCATCCTGGAGAAGTGCTGGGAGGGGTGCGGGCAGGGAGATCAGTGCCTCGTGCATGGCAGGGATAGCGCGACGGCCGTGATTTTGCGGGCAGTCTGCATCGTGTTCTGTCGTTCTCGTCCCACTCCATGGCTTTTGTAGGTAAGAGCAACCGAGGGAGAGACAGGCATCTCCCGTAGCTGTTGCCCAGTGTCCCCTGCCACCTTCCGGAGGCCTCCCGCGGTCTCAGCATCTGCTAATGGTGCCGTTGTCATCTCGGACCAAAACTGCTCGCAGGGAGGGTTGGCTTGCAGGCTTGTGAGGGGGCAGCAAATGCCCCATTGTGTGAAGGCTTGTCTTGGACACTGTTGTTGTTCTTAGGTTCTCCTGGTAGCTGTTGGAGGTGGTGTTAGTGGAGGGGAGAGGTGCAAAGCTGCTGGTAATAGGGGATAAGATCATCTCCTTGTCTGAATGAGGAAGGGCCGTCGGCAGCCTTCCCGCAGTGGAGCTCATCGTGGCTGTGCTGTCGGAGCCAGCCGGCTCTGCTCCGAGAGTTAACTACATTTTCCAGCGGTCGCCGACGCACGCTTTTCATTTTCAGATTGCCGCTTTCCCCTGAAGGACTCAGACAATCTCCCTCTGCTGTAACAGACTGTACTTCTATATTAATGTGTCAAGTTGCTGGGAAATTTAGTACCTTGCAGGGCCCATTGGGCCGTGGAGACCGCGCCACGTCTTTGCCACGGCTTGTCCCGCTGCCGCCTCTTCTGTGCCGGGGAGGGAGGCGGTTGGGAGAGCAGGCGTGGGAAGGCCTGTCCTTTTCCTGCACCTGGGAGGCTGCCTGGGAGCAAAAGGCTTGCTTGGGGGTTTTGTAACCCTGGCTCAGAGCCCGGTGGCTATAGGCAGCTTAGACTGATCTCCTCAGTGTCCCCCTCTGTCCTTACCCAGCTCGGTCGGTTTGGACAATGATGCGGCAGCCCCAGCAGGGCAGGGATGGTCCCTGGGGGCGAGAGAAGAGCTGGGCAGCCCTCATGTCCCCTTCCAGGCAGTGCCAGTGTCAGCCACAGTGGTTTTCAGGCGATCATCCCAGCATCCCAGCACTGTGGGAGAGCCCTTGGCATGAGGGTTGGGTGTGCAACACATGAACTGGGGCTCTCAGCATGTTGTGTGCTTGGGAAGGGGGCATGGGGCATCCTTTCTGGCATTGTAGGAGTGGTGGTTAGTTTGGGGGGGGGGTTGTTTCATACAGCCTCGTTTGCTCCCCGGGCCACGGACCCTTTTGGGGGCTGTGTCCGGCGGCCTGGAGCACTGGGAAGCGGCGTCGGCGAGCGGGCTTTAATTGCTTTTTGCCAGGGCTGGAGATATTTATGGGTGCAGAGATTGCCAAGTTATTTATTAGATGGAGTATCTGGGGATGGAGTAATATAAATCACCGTGGCCGGTATTGAATGGAGCAGACGCTCAGTAATTTAAACAGCTTTAATAAATATGCTAAAATATGAGCCTTGTCGCGGGCCATAACGAGAGCTGGTTATCGGGGTCTCGGCCGTGGCGGGGGGGCCAGTGTTTCCAGCCCCTTCCCAGTGGAGGGAGTGGGTGAGCAGACCCTAGGGTCACGCTCGGCTCCGGTCTGAGATGCCAGTTTGGAGACGTGGGGTCGGCAACCAAACAGGGTGGTGGGGCAGATGCTGATGTCCAGCACCGGGGCAGGTCTTGCAGCCAGGGCTTCCCGGCGGCACGTGGGTGGTGTGCTGATGAGGCCTGGTGAGCTGATGGATTGACAGTGCCTCTGCTCTTTGTGTCTTGCAGTTCCCCCCCAGATTGTCAACATCTCGTCGGACATCACCGTGAACGAGGGCAGCAGCGTGACCCTTATGTGCCTGGCCTTCGGGAGACCGGAGCCCACCGTCACGTGGCGGCATCTCTCCGGGAAAGGTGAGACTACGCTCGGGGCTCGGTGGACAAGCCACCTGGGTCCAAGGAGGGGTCTCGCTCAGCCTGTGTGGGACAGACAGATGTCCCCGTAGAGGTGGCTGGGGTGGCACAAAGGCTGTCCATGGTTTGCTGGTGTCTATTACGGAGGGTGGAGGTGCTGGCCTTTTGGTGTGTATGAGGGTGAGGATGCATGTTAAGTGATGTTCCAAGTTCCCTGGGTGAAGGCTGATGATGCCATGTGTTCGGGATGTCTCCTAGGGCAGGGCTTTGTGAGCGAGGACGAGTACCTGGAGATCACAGGCATCACGCGGGAGCAGTCCGGGGAGTACGAGTGCAGCGCCGTCAACGATGTGGCCGTCCCAGACGTGCGGAAAGTCAAAGTCACCGTCAACTGTGAGTGCAAGGGATGGGGGGAATTGTGGCGGGGCAGGCGTGTGCGGAGCCCAGCGTGACGCTGCGTGGTGTCTCCGCAGATCCACCGTACATCTCGAACGCCAAGAACACAGGTGCCTCGGTGGGCCAGAAGGGCATCCTGCAGTGCGAGGCCTCGGCCGTCCCCGTCGCGGAGTTTCAGTGGTTCAAGGAGGACACCAGGTGAGGGGCTGCAGAGGGGGAGCTTGGGGAGTGGCATGGCGGGGGACACCACGCCAGCCCCAGGGCCGAAGGGTGGCGAGGCAGCCGAGGGCCTTGCATGGAAGAAGGCTGGGGTCCACCCACGTCAGAGGGTCCAAGCGCCAGAGGGTAAGGGCCAAGGGGGTCCCAGGGTCGTTCCTCCTGGGGATGGTGGCCATGGCTCATGGTAACATGGGCCGTGTGGGTCAGGCTGGGAGATAGGTTTCAGGATGGAGAGCGCGGCATGCTTTTGGGCAGCGTGATGGGGCAAAAGGCTCATCTTAGGGGGATGCATGGAGTCCGGTGGGGGAACGTGTGGGTTCCAGGGAGGGGGCACGATGTGTTGCAGAGCGCTGGCGCAGTGCTCTGAGCACTGTTTTCTGCATTTTCCCGCAGGTTAGCGAACGGGCTGGAGGGCGTGCGGATCGAGAGCAAGGGCCGCCTGTCGACGCTGACCTTCTTCAACGTCTCAGAGAAGGACTATGGCAACTACACGTGTGTGGCCACGAACAAGCTGGGCAACACCAATGCCAGCATCATCCTGTATGGTAGGTGCCCTGTTTTTTTGCAGCAAGGTACAGCGAGGAGGGGGAGGAAGAAGAAGAGGCAGAGGCGTCGGCGAGGTGGGCGGCTGGCCTGCGAGAGATCGACAGAGCAGAACCAGCCATATTTAATAGTGCCGGGCTGTCAAGGTGCACAATGGCCCGAGATTGGAGCGGCGACATACCATGGAGAGGAAGCGTCAGATGATGAGATCCCATTGGCCCGAGCGGGCACGCACAGCCGGGTGGTGGTCGGTGGTGGGCACAGCGTTCGTGGGCTCACGGGTGTTTAGGGGTGCGCAGCAGAGTCAGCAGCCGTTCGTCTTCGTGGAGTCAGGGCCGTGGGTGCAGAAGAGGGTCCCGGCCAAGCCGTCGCTGGAGCGCAGGGCTGAGGAGGGGGCCCGGGCCAGGTGAGCACGCGCTTCGGGTGCACGGTGTGGGGTTTTTCCTGGGTGTTGTACTGGCAAGACTACTGGCAGTTGTCACGTTGTACCGGCAGTGCCGGCATGGAGGGGTGGTTTGCGTCGGGAAGGGGTTTGAGGAATGGAGGACGGTGATGTGTAGCTGTGGTGTGTCCCCATGGCAATTTGGTAAGCTGAGGGGGCTGTCATGGGCCAAGGGTGGCCGGCAGGAGCCGGCCTTCCCCTGGCAGGACTCTGGCACAAGGGAGAGGATGGAGTCAGGCGGCAGGCTCGAGGAGGCGTGGAGAGTGAGCAGAGTGTCTGTGCCGGCGTGGATTTTGGCAGCATCAGGG